GAGACCAATTTTGCAGGGCAGATGGGGTTTATTTTGTCTTCTGCATTATCTGGCCGCATTAACCCAGACTTTATGGTCCCCAAGGTGGCACGCGTTCCATCTACCTTGTCACGTTTTCTATGTGGAAGAAGCTCAGATTCTGAGAATCTGTACTGGTTACCTGAGACGGCTTAGAGCAGGGGTGGCCAAACTTGCTTAACGTAAAAGCCACATAGCTGAGAGCTGTAAGACATGAACAAATATTACACACAGATTTTTATTGGAAAACATGCAAATCTGCTCTGTATTAACATTAATTGAGACTGCCAAAAATAAAAACAAAAGGGGTAAAAACAGATATTGATAATGATATTTATTTAAACATACAACAACAAAGGTACAGCACACAGTAAAAAGTGACACAAATCAAAGAAAGGAGATACGTTTTTAGTTCAACATTTCATTGAAAAATTTCATAAGCATTATGATTTCAAATACACAGTATCGGAAACTTTAGAGGACAGTGGTAAAACAGCCATCCAGAAAGCACTTTTATGAAGAGAGGCATATTATATATTTTCCATTTTGGCTCTTCAGTCAATTCAATTCAATTCAAATACCTTTTATTGGCATACAATATTAAAAGCGTTTCCCAATAATACAATCCAAAAGAAATTATAAAACAGATAGTCGTGGCTATGTCAGGCCTAACTCAAGTTGTCACAAGTTAGATTTGACCATACTTGGCTCTTCAGTCAAAAGGATTAAATTCTGAACTGGACTTCTCATGTTTTTGTGAGCTATAAAATTTAGACTAATAGTCTTGTAATCTATATATCTAATTCCCAACTGTGCCCCCTGCATGCGGATATCTAAATCCGCACATCGGGGGCACTTGGGGGGCAGGGGGATTTTCCTGCACACGTGGGGCATTCCCCAGGGTGCAGAAAAATCTAAACAGTTTTTAAAACTGTAAAGGGGAAATTTAAATCCCCTCAAAAGTAAGAGCATTCCCTGCGCAGAGTTCCCTCTGGAAACTCTGCAACGGCCGGCGGCTGGGAGGCACTTAGGCCTCGCCGCCGGTGCTGGGGGGGGGGAATTGTTGGGGGGGGAGATTGTTGGGCCCGGCGGCACTCAGGCCTCTCCGCTGGTGCCCGCAGTGGGGGGGAATCGGTGTGGGGGGGAATCAGTGGTCCCAGCGCCTGGGAGGTACTCAGGCCTCGCTGCCGGTGCCCATGGGGTGGGAATCAGCGAGTGGGGGGAGAAGACTTACCTGCAGAGCTGCTTCTGCAGATCAGGAGCCTTTAGGAATACTCCCCCCTGCGTTAGTATCGCGGGTCCCGCTTCCTGTACATTCTGTTTCTCAGATCTCCAGGAAGACTAACCAAGAGTTGGCAACTGTCTAATACTATAGCAATTCTGACCCCCCGAAAACAGAATTAAATATAAAGAGAGATTATGGTGTTTCAAAATTTTAAGGAGTGAACAATTTTTACGGAGGCATTTTTTAATTACAGAATAATAGAAAAGCATTACCTTGTAAGGAACTGAAAAGGGATTCTCAGCAGTGGGTAAAATCCAATGTGACTCTTGTTTATGAGACTATATGTAACAGTGAAAAAAGGGGGCTTCTATGGGATTACTCTTTATGAAAGATTATATTATTGCATTTTGATGAAAGGTTGCTTAAATAAGTGCTTGTCATATTACTGCATTTTGTATTTTTCACAGTTCTTTGTTTCTGAGGAAGGACCAGAGGCCTGAAACACTGAAAAGTTACCTGCAGAAAGTGTTGGCCTTTCTATATATAATTCTGTATATTTACTCTTTGGCCTCTGTATAACTGTGTCGCTGTATAACTGTTTTAAATTTTTGACATGTTGTGCTTCTAAGCCTATAAGCTTAAGACTTCTGGTCAAATGAGCTAATAAATAAAGGAAAGGGATGGATCGCCCTCAGGGAGTTTCCTGTCGCTTTGATGGTGCTGCCACATCCAAGTGGCCTGTCCGGTGGCCACCTGATCAGCTCGACTCGGCTCCGTTGGTGTCATGCCTGCCCCCGACCCGGCACCTGGGAGCTCTGAAACGGAGGACTCCGTGCCTTTAACATCATCAGAGGCACGAGAGTCCTTGCCAAACCTAAGTGTGGGAGAGGATGAATACCAAACCCCAGGACAGCTTGCAGCTGAAGCCGATCAGGCAGTGCCTGGCCCCAGCAGCACGCCACCCAATTCTCCGCCACCTGTCGACCGGCTGAGGGATCCGAGACGCTGGGACTTGGCAACCAGATGCAAGGAGGCACGCTTGCGTGATTGGAGAACAATAAGCCCTGAGTTCTAACAGGATCAAGGACTTTGCGAGGCAGTGCTAATGAGTTAACAACCCAGCACACTATTTGAACAGGTCACTGACTGCTGGCAAATCGTGCTGGCAAACTAGTCCTTCGGACCAGAAGCTCTGCACCTCTGACACTGTTCCTGAAATCCCGTACTGACTGACTTCCTGGTTCCTGAATCCAGTCCGCTTTTTGACGACTCTCTGGCTCTTGATCCTTGGCTCTGCACCCTGACATTAGACACTCGCTTCTCTGGGCTCTGACCCCTGGTAACGCTCTGACTATGGCTTGGCTTTGTGTATTGGGATGCTGGCTCTGCTTGTCTTTGATCTCTCTGGCTTTGACTCTCGGACTGAACTGTAAACTCTCCCTCTCTGCCCGGCCCCCTGGCTCTGTCGTGACAGTTGGGATTGGGAGAGCAAACAAGCGGGGGGGGGATGGCCAGATGGAAGGAGACATGGTGGCTGCACTGGATGCAGAGAACAGCGCATTTTGGAATGCAAGATGGAACACATTGTTTCAGTGATGGTAGTGAAGAAACATCCCTTCTCCCATTCCCATCTCTTCAGTGCAGTGTCATCCAGCCGAGCCATTACGGATGGTGCGGGACTACTGATATCCTCACAAATATCGATTTCAATCCTCAGCAGGTTGCTATGACTTATTTGCAAAACAATTAGAGGGTAAAACTACTTACATCCATTCCAATCTACATTAAACATTGTTTGCTGCTTGGATCAGTTTGAGTTGGTGTGAGCTGCAGAAGTTGACGTTCTTGGAAAAAGATGGTCCACCATCTGTAAGCTCAACATTTGCCAATTTGGGTTTATTGCATCTGAGTGCCAACTGGTTCAGCCCCAGGGATAGTCAACATATCACTGAATAAGGGAACAGTATCAGACAACTTGAAGAAGAAAAGTATGAAGTCTTTCCTGGGGAAATCTTCTCCTTATCCTGATGTCAGCTATGCTGCCGTGGGGGTTGGGGAGTTCATTCTGTGTCTTGGTAATTGCTATTGCATTCCTATCTCTGCTGTTCTGCCTGTGTTACTGCATCTACAGCTTTGCAATAAAAGTATAACCGTTCCTGAATGCGTGTACTTCGTTGTTAGCTGTGGATTCTGACACTTGACCGTTTTCCTTAACAAACAGTTGCACATTTCCTTTTGGACAAAGTGCTGGTGCTGGAAATGACATGCATGTGGAGAAGTGGGAAATCAAACCCAGTTGTCCCAGATTAGAGTCCGCACTCTTAAACACTACAGCACACTGGCTCTCTTAAGAGGCCTCATCAACATTGCTGTCACTTATCTATTAATTTCATTTTGGAACATTCTTTTTTTGGTCCAGTATTGACATATTCTTTGTTATTCCTTTGTAACACGTGCCTATTTGAACCTCATATTGTTTGACCTCTGAAGAAGACATGATTGGGCCAAAATGCGTTAGGTCACAATAATTGTTCCTTGTGTGCCTGTCATTTGTATTTGTCAATGAGGCTTTCATGGGGCCTTTATACGTTTTTTAACTATTGGCCCTCCACCAGGTTTTTTTCTTACCTTTTTGGTTCTTGATTTGTGCTTTGGGGTCTCACCTTGTCCCCCATTCCATTCCTCCCCATTTTTAATATATACATGAAACCTCTAGATTTGAAATGAAGTGTCATTAGTATGTGTGTGACATTAAACTGCATTTCTATCTACGGGCATCCTTCGATGAGAAGTGCTTGCAGGTGTTTGGTGTCAGTAGCTAACTGGATGTGGGCTGAAACATTCAAGCTCAGTCCAGACAAAGATGGATTTGCAGACAGTGCAGTTGACTAGGGTGTTGCTATTTGATGAGTGGGTTTTATTCGCCAGAAAGGATCCAGAAGGAGCTAAGATTTAGCCTTGTGGGTGGGTGCCAAATATGTCATCTGAGGCTCAAAGCACCTTTCACCAACTGGCCTGCCAGCTGTGGCCCTTCCTTAGGAAACAGGATCTTGAGACAATTATTCATGCCCTGGGAGACATTCAGGTTAGATTACGGCAATGTGTTATATGAGCCCTGCCTACGGAAAACATTTGGAAATTGCAGTTGGCTCAGAATACATTGCCCAGACTATCACATGAGACCTACAGAACTGATCAGGTCTCTCCAGCACTTAAAAACCAATGCTGGCTGCCAGTTCGTCTTCAGGGCCAAACCAATTCACAGTGCTGGTTTAGTCTACAGTTGCCAGCCTCCAGGTGGTAGCTGGAGATCTCCCGCTATTACAACTGATCTTAGGGTTGCCGCTCCCCCCGATGGCAGTGGGTCCCCCCCGATTTTGGGGCCCCTGATCTGCCCACTGGCCGGTGGGCCAGCAGGGGAGCCCCACCCCCGAAGAGCTCCATGATTCCTGATGTGCCACCTGGAGGTGATGTCATCGCGCCGGGCATGTCATGGGGGGACACTCTAGCATTCAACAAAAACCTCTATGGTGACCATGGTATTTTTTGTCAAAACACTAGAGTGTCTCCCCATGACGTGCCTAGTGTGATGACATCACTTCTGGGTGATGTCATTGTGCCACCGTCAGGCGTTGTGGAGTTCTTCGAGAGTGAGGTTCAAGTGACTTTGGATTAAATGGAGTGCGTGGACCTACGTCAGTATGAATGACAACCTTGTTTTGTGAATGAAACCGGTCACTCTAGTGGACGATCTGCTATGGGACAAGGGGACAGTAGCCCAGTAGCTTTTGATGCCATCGACGAAGGTACCATTCTGGATTTAGGGTGGGGTTGTAGTAGAGAATGTGCTTTGCACATAGAAGGGGTCCCCTGGCATGTTCGGTTAAAAGGATCAGGGAGGAGAGGTGATTCCATTTTCCTCTCTGATAAGTTGATTCCAGAATCTGCTTGCTGCTGGGATATTGCTGATCTGCCCCACAGCATTTATGACACGGGGTGCTTTCTATTGAGGGCATTTTTGCTCTTACTAATTGGTTACATCATTACTTTCTGGACCACAACTGAAAGATATACAAACGTAACACCATTTACCACTTGTGCATAGGCACTGGACAGATGATTTAATCTGAAGAAGAAGAAGAGGAAGAGGAGGAGGAGGAGACTAGATTTATACCCCGCCCTTCACTACCCAAAGGAGTCTCAGAGCGGCTCACAAACTCCTTCCCCTCCCCACAACAGACACCCTGTGAGGTAGGCGGGGCAGAGAGAGCTCTCTCGAGAACTGCCCTTGAGAGAACAGCTCTGGAAGAACTTGTGGCTGACCCCCCCATGATGTGCCTAGTGTGTTGACATCACTTCTGGGTGATGTCATTGTGCCACCATCAGGCGTTGTGGAGTTCTTTGAGAGTGAGGTTCCCCCACCAACCAGCTGGCCAGCGGGTGGATCAGGGGGCCCAAAACTGGGTGGGGGCCTGCTCCCATCGGGGGGATGGCAACTCTAAGATCAGTTGTAATAGCAGGAGATCTCCAGCCGGAGAGAAACCAGAAGGGCCCCCCCCCGCCACCAAAAGGTAGGGATCCGGCAAGCCTACCTGATCTCCAGGAGACAGAGGTGAGTTCACCTGGAGAAAATGGCCACTTTGTGAAAAGTACTGGGTTTACCACATATTTCCCACCAAAGCTTCTATTGGTTCATGCTGGGGGAACTAGGATCCTAGGTTCCTATTGTCTAGAGGAGCTAAGCTCTTGACTGTAGCCGCGGACCTGTGGTGGTGGTCCGCGTACATAACACTTTGGCAGGTGGGCTGCTCTATGGCACTATACCTCTTTGAAGTGCCTTCCCTCCCCAAACCCCACCCCACCCTCCTGAGGCTCCACCCCAAAATCTCTGGGGTTTTTCTAACCTAGAGCTGACAACCCTACCTCCAGACAACAGAGATCAATTCTGCTGGGGAAAACATGGCTGCTCCAGAGGGCGGACTCTATGGAATTATACCTTGCTGAGGCTCCTCCCCCAACCCCATCCTCCCCAAGCTCTCCCCCCCAAGTCTCCAGGTATTTCCTAACCCAGAGCTGCCACCCAAGTTTAGTCCCACAAAACCTTAAACGACCAGGGACTAGTGTCTGGATGATTGCCTCCTCTCCTGTGGGCCAGCCCATTCATTACAATTTTATTTTGTTATATTTCAGCTTGAATGGTTCTTGTTGCTCTGGGCGAGGGCTAGGATGCAGGGCCGGCTCAAAATGTTTCTGCGCCCTAGTCAAGGCTGCCTTATGGCGCAGATGCCAACCTCCCGGTGGGGCCTGGACACCTGGAGACCTCTGGAGCCAGCCACCCTTTTGCTGCTGCCACCACCGCCTACTCCCCCCGCCGCCACCACCAAAGGGGGGGAGGAGGGGGGAGGCACAGCTTGGCGCCCCATCCAGGACCCGGCGCTCTAGGTGAATGCCTAGTTGGCCTAGTGGGTGAGCCGGCCCTGCTAGGATGATCAGGTTCAATCCTTGCTCACTATGAAACTGTTGCTTGTTTGATCAAAGTCAATACTGATGAAGGGTGTGTTTACTTCACTCTAGCTCTAGGGGGAGCTCTAACATATATTTTCTCCGGTCCAGAGCTTATTGATGGCTATTCCGGTTGGCTTGTTTTTTCTGCTACTACTTGTGTTTCTTTCTTCCTGTAAGTTGGATATAGGCATCTCTGCTACTGGAACACTCAAAAGTTCATTATTGCTGCTTGCAATCTCGTCGTTTCAGCAGATTTTATAGAATGCAACTCTCCATGTGTGGGACTGGCTTAGTCCCCCAAGCTCCGCTTACAGAAACTTAATAGGTGTGACAGGTCCCCCCCCCCGACTTGCCAGTGGGGGATGGAGGGGAATTTATTGTGAGCGTGGAGGAATGCTGGAAATAAATGTGATGCGCCTACCTCAGTGGGGTAGAATGCCACAGAGTCCACACCCTCCCAAGCATCCATTTTCTCCAGGGGAACTGATCTCTGTATTTGGAGATGAGCTGTAATTCCAGGGGATCCCCAGGTCCCACCTGGAGGCTGGCATGCCTAGTGTGCAAGTAAAATTAAACTTTCATCTGATATGAATGCAACAGCACACTCTTCTGTTGTAGGCCTTTAGTTTTTTGGGTAAAGCAGCAGGGGGCCCAAGGGAGCCAGTTCTGGGGCTCTTGGCCTTGTGACTCTCGTCCTGCTTCACCCCGCCAGTCCCGTGCACCTCAGGCCCAAGATCAGGGTTCCAAATAAGCTGCCTGACCTGGATCCTCTCTCACCTTCAGAATGGAGACAATGCCCTGTCACAGCCTACCTTTTGCACAGGGTTACCAACCTCCAGGTGGGGCCTGGAGATCTCCCGCTGTTACCCCTAGTCGCCAGACAATAGAGATCAGTTCCCTTGGAGAAAATGGCTGCTATGGAGGGTGGACTCTGCTAAGGTCCCTCCCCTTCCAAACCCCCGGCCTCCCCAGGCTCCACCCCCCAAATATCCAGGTATCTCCCAACCCAGAGCTGGCAACCCTAGAGTGTATAACATCACACCGCATTACACCCTCTTTTAAGCTCCTGGGGGGGACGGGACGTTCTTAAGATGTTTTTCTCACTCTCTTGAACTTCACTCACAGTTTCCACTGCTGATGGGGTTAAGCGTGCCGCTGCTTCTCCTGGACTGTAAAGCACCCATGCAGGAACTCTCTCTTTTCTGCTCCTTACTGGTGGACAGCACTGCCATGGTTTCTTTTATTCAGAGCTCTACTTCAAGCCTAGATCACAAATCTTTGATGCATGATTCCAGGGGTCGTTTCGTAGAAAAAGAGCTAGGGGAACTCATTAGCATAACTCATTAGCATATGCCACACCCCCTGACATCACCGGAAGTGTGTCATAAGGCCACACCCCCTGACATCACCGGAAGTGTGTCATAAGGCCACACCCCCCGCCCCCAACGGTCCCGGCCGCCACCGC